CTCTCTCTCTCTCTCTCTCTCTCTCTCTCTCTCTTCGTCTTCTCTGCCAGTCAGCTGCATTAAGTCAATTTGTCTGTAGGACAGTCCGGGAAATGTACCTGCGTGAAACTTGTTGAGCAACACACATAGGAGGCCGTGAAGCTGATCTTGAACCACGTGTTTTGCAGGGCAAACATGACAAGGCCAAGCCCCTGTTGGAGCGCTCGGTGGCGATCAACGAGGCTACCTTTGGCTCGGAGCATCCCCATGTCGTTGCATCCCTCAACGATTTGGCGGCGGTCTTGGAGAAGCAAGTGGGTGTTTTTCCTTGACATCGTCGTGACCCAAACAGTTGTTTCCAGGTGCATAAACGGGATAGTAACGTAGCGCCCTCCTTGTGCCCAATTATCATGGTGCGAAAGTGTGTGGGGCTGTGTTGGATTTCGCCAACCCTCGAGTGCTCGTCCTACCCCTTCGTGACGGCGTGGTAATACGCGCAGTGCGTGACTATTCTCTTGATTGGTTGTACCCCAACCGAACGATATTCGCTCGGCATTTGATATACGCCCCCTCCTTAGGGCAAATACGCTGAGGCGAAACCCCTCTACGAGCGCTCGCTTGCCATCAACGAGAACACGCATGGTCCTGACCACCAGGACGTTGCAACGTCGCTCAACAACTTGGCTTTGCTTCTCTGCGAGGAGGTGAGGGCGTGAACTACGTATGTAAATGAGATTCACAGTCTTTTGCTTCTGTTTCTTTTGCTTCCGATGTTGTTCAAGCGGTACTCTGGAGTTGAGAATACAACATTACCAGCCATCGTTTCCACCGCCTTCAGGGAAACTACGTCGAGGCTCGTCGCCACTTGGAAAGGGCTCTGCAGATCAGGACTAATGTCCTCGGGGGAATGGAACCAGATACTATCGAGATCCGAGATACTCTAGAGTTCGTACGGGACCAGGTTGGTGAAAACAGAGCCGGAACGTCGTAGACAGTAAGGCCACGCATTCGACATGACAAAGCACAGGCCACTATGTGACGTCCTGCTGGGTCGATCTCCGCAAGTATGGGTTGCACCTGCGTGCATGGGTTGCATCTGCGTTGCCACTCTCGTAACGGGTCAATGACCTACACTGTTAAACGGAAGTCCCTGCTTTGCCAGCTTTGTTAGTAGGTGAAGTCGAGCCGGATTGGTGTAGTTTTAGACTGGGCATTATGGTGATTATGGTGCGTACTTTGTGCGTCCCCACCCTGTTCTTATTTGTTCCCACACCGTCTCGTCCTAAGCGTTCCTTGCGTTTGCTGTTTTTCCCTCTAATTACAGATTTTACCAGATGAACCTGACACGAAACGTCCCAGAGACCCTGGTGATACGCTGGATGGGACGGACCTTCAGGGGAAGAAGGTATACGCATCGGGTAACCCCTGTTGATAGGCTGATGCACAGATTGAAAGCATGCACCTTGCCCGAATGCTGACTGGAGACGGTTAACGTACTCCGCTCCTTGAGCGGTCTCCGCAATGATAACTGTCAACGTTGAGTTCGTTGAAATGAACGTGGTCGGGTGTTCTTAACTGGTTGTGGAAAGGTGTCGCGAACATGTTTACCACAACGGTACTCGGGCACCCGTGCATCTTGTTTAAGGCATATGAACCCGACACGCTGCCATGCGATGCAGGCCATCCACTGCTTGCTGTATAGCACTGCAACGCCTTGTTCACTCGTGAAACTTGCGACACTTGCCCTTGTCCAATGATGTTCACCAACAATACGACCTTTGTCTCCACCCCGTCTTGTCTTACGCGTCGCACATTGTAAACCCAAGAGTTCTGTTCCTCGTCTCCATTTTCTTTCTGCGCTTATTCCTTGCGACACCAAAGCAACGCCAGCCCAAGGGAGGCACAGAACTCACACCATCTGCAGCAGCTACTCCTCGAGCATCCCCATCCGCACCTACGCAAGCGGTAGACGCATCGTGCAGGGCTGCGGTCGATCCGGAGGCGACCGGGCAACTCGCCGATAGGCCAGACTAGGCCCACCTTACGTGTCGCGGAAGACAGCCTTGCCGTTGTCTCCATGGGATCGGAACCCACGGCCATCGTTGACAGCGTGGAAGTGCATTAAACGGTCCTGAAGCACGCCATTGATTTTTGGCACTCGCAATCGGAAGTTGGCTTTGCATGCGTCTAACCCTACGACAGGAAACAGAACCGTAGACAGCATGCATACCCTGCGGTGTTGGAGGAGTTTATCCGTCAAACGGGTAGAAGGGGTTGCTGTGGCGCGCGCTTCATTCGGGTGCCAGGTGTGATATCTCGGCTTCACTTGGGCGCCAAATATGGTACGTGTTGCTGTCCGCAGCAGCAAAAGAACCTAAGGGCGTAACATTATATTTCGATACCCTGAGTCCTGTCCCCTACAAATCCACGGCACGGCCCCAACGCCAAACAACAGGGTTGCCGAATGAACGGGGGGCATGGATTTGGAGCACGGCTGGAATTACGATGTAGAAATCTGTGTTTTCATGCGTGCGTCACGCCTGGATCCACCGCCGTTGTGGGGATGCGCGAAAGATCGACCTAAACACCCAACATGGCGCTTTCCAGAGAGGGGAACACACGAAGGTAGCTCTTGGGCTGACTATTCTAGTTCCAAGCTCATGACGATGTTCAATCAGTGTCAGTGTGAGTCACCCGAGTCGCGACCCGACCAAGAACAACCCGCGTCAAAGTGTGCAGGCCCTAGAGGCAACGAGAAACGATCGAGTCAGGTTCACTGCAACGCCGCATGTATAAAGCAGGCGCGACACATCTATCGATCTTAGTTCAATAACAGCATAGTTAAAGCCCATGACTTTGATACCCTTGGTCCACAGGCAATCGTCTCCAATACTACCGTCTTCCCGGCATACCCGCCCCATACACATCCAGTCGTGCCAGACATTTCTATTGCATAGATCACGGACACCTAGTGACCGTCGTCTTGCACATCGGTTTGTCGGATAGCGATCTTCCAACGGCGATCTGATCCAGAACGTGGTGGTGAAGGCAACGTATGTTGAGCTACTACGCCCCCCTTTATAGCTGTTCAAAGAAGGCTGATGCCATCACGCGTTACGACTACGGCAGAGGTCGGCCGCTAGGCCCCCGCAATCGGCTGGCTGAACTGACGTCCGAATGACAACTGACGTAGGGACGCCGGCCATACCACTTCGATGATCGGCTGGTTGAACATTTCCCCGAACGATAAGCATCCCAGGGGGCCCGGCCACTGGACTTCGGCGATCGGCTGGTTGAATCTTTTTCCGAACGACAGGTGCCGCAGGGAGGCCGACCACTCGACTTCGGCGATTGGTCGGTTGAACCTTTCACCGAACGATAGCAGCTGCAGAGAGGTCGGCCACTCGACTCCGGCGATAGGCTGGTTGAACCTTTTTTCGAACGATAGCCGCTGCAGAGAGGTCGGCCATCTGACTCTGGTAATGGGCTGGTCGAAATAACACCAAATCGAAAGCTGTTGCAGAGAAAACGGCCACTTGAATGCGCTCGAGCGCAGTGTGAAACATTTCCCAAACTCCAGTTTTCGTAGAGAACGCGGCCATACCATCGATGGTGACGTCAAAGCCGACCCTTGGTCCAACAACAGCCTTTCAAGCCTAGGCGGCCAAACCACCCGCTCCAGGTCTGATGAAAGTTCTCCCTCGATTCGCAAATCCTCTAACCATTCCCACTGTTTATCGCCCACATTACTCAGAAACGCATGTGTCCTCCTATTCACCCACACCAATTGGAGTGCCAACACGGGCGGCACACGTCCCGAGGTGTGAGTCTCCGGGTCCCACAAGCTGTTTGGCGTTTCTTCGTCAACACGCACTTGCAAGGACTGGATACTTCGGCGCTCGCAGCAAAACGCCAAGCATACGAGCCGTAGCTCTAGCGTGGACGTGTACCAGCGTCTCTCCCGTCCTTTGTGAGCTTGGTTCAAGGCGATGCTGAAGGCGTCAAGGTACCGGTTCTCCCCGAACGTTTGCCAGTACAGGACACAGCGTGAAGCATAACGTATGATCGGTATGGATTGTTAATGCGTACGACATCGTGACGCCTTTAGGAGGCGCACACTTCAAAATGAGACGTGGATAAAACCAAATGAAGAATTCCCATCACGGGATTTTTCGCAGGAGGATCGGGAGTCAGGTTCTTGTAGAGAATTGTATGTAACAACCCACACAATGAATCCACAGACGAGATGCGCACAAGCAACCTTACCTTGACACAATGCTGGCAAACACTCTAGATGCTATGGTTGTCGCTGCCAGTTGCAGCATAAACGTAGCAGACAGACAGCCTCAACACGCCCATCTACAAATCTGTTGGGGGCAGAGCCCAAAGAACTCGCGCTTCGCTCCTAGCTTATTTTATTGTTCGTAGTTCAAGCTCCAAGCAGGAAACTACCCCAAAACTGCTCTCTGAACGACCACCTGCTAACAGCCGAGCAGAACGAACGGCCGGTGTCGCAAAATGCGTCCAAGACATTCCTTATCCTTCGTCCGTGGGTAAAATACACCGCAAGGAACTTTGCAGGTAAACTGTGGTACAATGTAGGTCCAAGTGAATAGAACAATTGTACTGTTTCCCCGCAACTGCAGCGCCGCTCCCCCATAGGGTGTGGGGTATGGGGGCGCGATGAGAGAAGGCCGAAGAAGAAAAGTCTTGTGTATTCGAAGTGTACAACTTTAAAAGAGACGGGGGTGGGGGGGGGGCGAAGAGGTCACGGTCGACAACCCAACCGCACTTCCTGGTGATGTAGACAAACACTCAACTCAGGGGAGAAAGAGAAGCCAAATCGCCAAAATGGTTGCACGCGCATTCATGGACAACGAGCAAGAACAATCTGCAACAAAACAGCAGCAGCGTCAGGCAATCCCAGGAATCGCTCAATAACGGATTGGATATCTTCTCTCGAGTACATACGGGACGCAATCACGGTTCTTATTGCGTGGAATCCGGGTCACGAATGTCTCGAAAGGTGAAGGCTCATCACCACCAGGGGCATGGTTCTGACTAATAACATCGATCGCACGCTTCTAACCGTGCCTGAAACGGAACGGGACACGATTGCAGCACTAGTTGGGCGCGTCCTACACTAATTAGGGTTTGTACTTGCTGGTATTGGTCGCACATCGCTGTTGTCACTGCCGTTGGATATCGAACCGGATCTGTCGTTGGTGCCGAGTGAAAGACCGGAGAGTGACCGTGCCCTCGAAGCTGGTGAGGACGAATGCACCTGTGAGGATGAAGCGATGGCCGTGGAAGCGGCGAGCGCGATTGTGCTGCACTCGCCATCCTCCCCGCCGATGCTTTTCCTCGCGCCCTCAGCCTGTTGGAGAGCGAGGCCACCATCTGGTGTCCAGAAGCAAGAGGGGTAGGTGGTGCTAAGCTTAATGCGAAACGTGGCCGGGTTTTGCAATCAGGATGCGGGAGGAAAGTACAAGGGAAGCGGAAAAGCGATGCACGCCTCGTGGGCGAGGCGAATATCTCCCAATGAGGCAAGAAACATGCGTGCCTCTATGAATAACTATCGAATACGAAATTGCTACCGTATCAAGTCATGCGTGTTTTCATCTTGAGCTTTATCAGCGTCCGATCGTTTCCAGTATCTGGTGTACCAACTTCCGGTCTTGGTTCAACCTCCTGTTTGCTGGATGAGCGATCCTTTCACCGGAGATTGTCATCGGAGATTGTCATCGGAGATGTACTCGAGTCGGTCGGTCGACACAAACTTGACGACGCGAGTCTGGGTTGTCAGCGCGTGCAAGACACAGAGAGCACCTCCCGCGCAGGCCAGTGCGGTAATGACAGTGGTGGAAATGGTGGCGGTGGTGGTCGTGCGGCGGCGGCCGCGATCCCTTCAGCTGGTACTATTTTCCAACTCAATGGCCAGACTACGTGTGCACCGTGACGGTCCACAAGTGCAGCTCCAATGACACACCTACTGCGGAACCAAATACCACACACTGCTGTAGTTCATTGTTCGACGCTACAAGAGTGTTAACGGAGCCGCAGTGTAGCCCCCAATCTCTCGCCCATAATTACTGTTTTCCGGGAGTCACTTGGAGCACAAGAATAAACCGTACCGTTGCGCGAGGTCAACAGTCCCTGCTCAAAAAAACCTCCGGTTGCTCTATGCAACTGCGAGTGGTCTCCGATCCTTGCGAAACGACGACCAGTGCGCTCTCTCCGACCTATAAATTTTAGGGCTGTCTACGTTATTTTCTCCGCGGTAACTTTACTGCGGTAAAAACACGGTAATTACCGTCACCCGTGATCCCGTGCAAATTGAGAATTCTTATCAGCGGGAATGATGCTGACATGAAAAAACGATAACGAAGACAGCCGTGAAAAATTGGTTCACTTCGACCAGGCCTGTTGAATATCACGAAAATCGATCCGCCGCTCGGGCCCGCTTTCGCAACTTACCGCCGACTATGCGGGGGGGCTGCTCTTCAAAGGGCGGCCGGGAGTAAGTTGTTCCCGTAGCACAACACAGCGTGAGTGCTGGAGTGTCTTGCTTTGCTCCCTCCCGCCTCTACAAGGTGATGCCCCTGCCCCCTATACCCCGTTGGTCAACAAATTAGATGTGGTACAAACGGTGGCTGTGGTTGCGGGAAACGTGTCGCTCTCTTTGTTGACGGCAGTGGGCGGCCGTGTGTCATGTACGCCAAGGCCGCGGCGGCGCATGCGGACATGAGGACCAACAACAACTTCAACTATTATTGAACACCGCCCGATCAAGACGAAGAATAACGCTGGCGGGCCAGGCACGCACAGCTGCCTCATGAGTGTCGTGCCTCTCGCATCCTAGCAGATCATCACCATCAGAGGTTGTCATCAGGATCTGCGTAACGGTGTCGTCGCGGCACAAGATGCCAACACCACCCTCTGGCAGAAAATTCGCCCTTCGTCACACGACGGTGAGGGTGCTGTGCGAGCCCGGTCCGTCCGGTACAAAACCGCCGAGTTTGAGGTCTCCATCCAACCGACTGTATCAACCATCATGGCCATGAGGACACCTCCCGCCATCTAACGTAGAGACCCAATCATGATGTAGTACAATATGTTCAGCAAGACGTCTCATCCAGCTGTGCAATGGGGGTGGATGTGTGGGACGCACCACATCCATCTTGAGTCTTGCAGTCTGTATCCCTCTCACCGCCGGTTAACAAACTCGTTGAAGTTCGGCCGTTGGATGCAACAGCAGTTTCACCCCTCTGCATGCCCCGTTTCTCCCCTTGGTGCTTCCTGCGCTCGGTGTCTCCAGCGTTGACACACATGTTCAGGGATAGGAGAAGGATGAGCTACCCACAGCAAGCAGGAGGGTGTAGCTGTAGAGAGGCCTCCCATTGGCCCATTGCAGGGGGCTGTAGACCTTTCCCCTAAGGAATAACGCCTCTCCGCTCGCTCTGCCGTTCATTTTTTCGCGGATCTTGGGGCCTGGGCCCTCCGCCCATGCACCATGCACACAATCTCACGAGGCATTCCGCAGGAGCGAGACGCACGAGCAGAGACAGGGTGGTGAAAACACGACCCGGATCAGACTACCGTACGATCGCTTCTTCCTGCTGTTGGCACGAGAGGAATCAACCTTCCCGTCCGTCCGCGCATCAGCCGAGAGAGATAGCGCGAGCTCACGGCGCAACTTTTGCCGAGGGTGACGGGTAGACTCTTGGTTGTAGATCTCACCGTCTCGTTCAGCCAAGGGAGGAGCGGGACCGCATCGACCGGATAGCCTTCAACTCCCTGTTGGACTGCTTATCGAGCTCATCAGGTCAAGATCGGGCAGCGTCACGGCGCAACATCGGACTCAGAGCAAGGGTTAGAGGGTCTCCTCGGCACATCATGGTGATCGTTGAGGATTCCGGCGACTGGGACACGGAGAGAAAGACAGACCCCACAGATACGTTAGTGTTGAGAAAATATCTTGTTGTTGTCGACTTCGCTTTTAGCTTTGTAGAGCAAAAGATTGATAGGCGCTGTTGTAGGATGCCTGTGCTGGTTCGTTGTGCTTACGGCGGTGTTCTTCCCACAGAATGTGTGTAGACTATGTAGTCTAAAAATGATGCACGTGCACCCGGCCTCTCCTCCACATGTGGAGATCACAGATGCCAGGTCAGGAGGTTCACCCTCCTCATGAAAAATACCGGCCACAAGATACAAGAAACCCATTTTTTCTGAAAAGATCCTCTCGAAAATCAACGTGGAGCAGACCGTGGCGCGGGGTTGTGCATCAGGTACACAAACAATTGGCGGCACTGTCTAGAGTGTAAAGGATATGCACGCGCGGTGCAATCTGGGAGACCCGTGAAGACGAACTCACTTGTCATTAACTCGTGTGGAACAGCTGCATGCAGTAGATGTTGCCAAGGGAAGGTAGAGGACTGACTAGGATGGGCCAGGATCAGCTGCTAAAGCAGGAGCTACTAGATCGTACCATCCCAATAGAAATGGGGGTGTGGAGCTTGTCAACCACACTATGGCTCAGATGTTGGCTATGGTTGTCAACGAACGACAAGATGATTGGGACATTCATCTCCCACACGTCGCCTTTGCTTACAACAATTCCGTTAGCGTCGCTACCGGTTCAGCGTCCAATGAGGTGCGTATGAATCGCTTGCCTCGTTTACCGATGACTGTTCTTGAGCATCCTTACGCTCGTGGCCACCAAAGCCTGCATCGTGATCAACTCGAATATTGCGATCTTGCTGCTGATCGCCAACGTCGTTCTTACGACTTGGTGCGTGAACAGCATAATAACCTGTCCGTTTCGCGGACTGAGCGGCGAAATTCCACTCTATCGGACGCTTTCCACAAGCTTCCTTCTTACCCTGTTGGTGGATGGGTTTGGGTGTACCACTCCGAATCTACTATTCGACAAGGCGTTCGTTCAGGCACAGATGATAAGGTTATCAAAGCCAAGTTATCTCTGCTCTGGACTGCCCCCTTCAAAAGCTTGGCTGTGGGCCCGTGTTCTAACAGCCCTGACGGTCGTCATTTGGCTTCCAAGTTGCTTTACTTGGATTATCCTTCGGACCTGCCGGGCCAAGACTCGAAACCTCGTGTTTCGGTTTTGCGTTGCAACCCTTGCGCCAACCCGCATGACACCGATGACCTACCGCGCTTTCTGCCGGCTGGTCTTACTCCGTATGTCCTGAACTCTTATGCGAACAAATCTCCTCCCTACCATGTTACGGAAGACGACGTGTCGACTCCGGTTGAACATTTAGACACACTGGCAGGGCCTTCTGCGCCCTTCTTGGGAGCGCGAGATGGACCTGCTTCATTCCAAGCCGCACATTCTCCGGTACTGGGCAGGTTCGCCTGACCAACATCGCCAAACAAATCGCCGTTATTGTGCGATGCGCATTGGAGCCTCTACCAGGGAATTGGCGCGTGCTCAAGGTGCGCGAGCTTTGCCTTCGGGCTACTCGCTTGTTTCCCGTTCAATATGGGACCGTCGCTTCGCCAACACTCCTCTACCGGTGGGCGCCTTCTTCTGGCACAAGACACAAGATGGACTCTGGTGGTTGGGCAAGATTTCTGGACCACCTCCTCTGCCGTCCGACTTCTACGTCGTCCACTTCTTGGACGATCCTGGACCTGTCAAGCTCGCCCTTCCCGATGTTCGCTACTCTGCCGTCGAAACCGCCGCCTCCGGATCGTGGTGCCTCCAAGTACACAGCGGCAGCGCCCTATTCAATGGTGTTCTTTGCAACATCGACATGTCGCGTGACGACGTTGTGACCGCTTCGTTGTCTGATGACGTCGCGCGCCCACATTAAGATGGCATGCTTGGTTGTTTTTTCCTTCTGTTGCTCTTGCAATAGCATTATTTATTTTTGTTTTCTCGTTTTTTGTCTTTTGGCTTCAATAGTCCGCCAGGTCGAGCTTTCTCTGTTCCCTGCCGAGGTTCTGCCAGCTGTTGTTTGGTGTCACGACCCCTCTTCTACTTGGTTTCGCTTCCGAAACGTTTGGTTTCCGGCCTTATCGGTACGTTGTGATGCTGTTGTACTTTTTCGTATATTTTTGTCTCTACTTCTTAGAGTTTGCGGGCTGAAGTGTCTCGTGACCTTTGTTGTCGCTCCCACGCTACCGTGGCGATTATTTGGCGTATCTTATCGTTTTGTCGACACAGGCCTTTTTCTTTCACCGTTCATTTTCCGTCGCTCCGGCGACGCATATTTTCTTCGTTTCTTTCGTGTCCTCTTTTCCGCTTTCTTTTGGATTCTGACCTGTTATGGTATTTGTAGCCTTCGCCTGTTGCCGCTCTCCCGTTGGTTTCCTCTCTGTTAGCCCCAGCTTATTACTTTCTCTACCTTATTTTTCTAGGTCAAACGATGGTCTTGCGACCCATCGAGTGAGAGGTGTGGGAGGGTAAATTGTGGTATTTTGGAGGTCCGCATCCTCGATACTCTCATTTGGGATTTGACAAGTAATTGTCAAGTTCTGAGATTTACGTATCTGCGTATGAGAACCTCCAGGGTGGGCTAGTGTTATGGGATTTGAACGTGTAGGGAAGTACAAACGGTAGTGCGGGCTAGTGCCCAGAGAAAAGTGCGGGAGATGCAACTCCCCACGGAAGGACAAAACGGGGGACAGGATCTATTAGCCCCTGCTTTAGCAACTGATCCTGGCCCCATCCTCGTCAGTCCTCTACCTCCCCTTGGCAACAGCTACTGGAGCTGTTCCATACGAGTTAATAACAAGTGAGTTCGTCTTCACGGGTCTCCCAGATTGCACCGCGCGTGCATATCCTTTACACTTGGCGTTGTCGGCATAAGCGTACAGCGTGCTTGCCGGGGTTTGTGTTTGGGCGACTCGAGCCTGCTGCTGCACGCAGCTTTCTGCGCTTTCGTCTCCACACAACTTAGCTTTGCCTCGCTGATCGGTATGTCTCAACTTAGCGTCGGCTCCTCGGACTCGGCTTCGGCCAGTCCAGAGCCCTCAGAATGTTCTCGCTCGCTGGTGTCTCCACACAGTGCTTCGGCTTTCGGGCCGACAGCCAACGATTCCCAATCGTCGTTGTTGCCGTCTTTTGATGGCGCGAGTGCCGCTGACCCCATCCTAGAAGCCACCCGTTTGTCAGAGCTTCGCGCTCAACGCCGACGGGAGGAGTTCGCCTCCACGGCTTCTACTGACGCTAGCCCCGTGGGTGCTGTCCTCAAATTACCTGCAGCAGCAGAAGCTTCGGTTTCCACCTCTGTCTTTTCGAGTACTCAGCCTTCTGTTTTTGCAGCCGCTGGTGGTGTGTTCCAAGTTTTCCCGCCGGAACCACATGTTGCTGATTCCACTTTTCCCCTCACCTCCACCGCCGCTGACCCTTCTGCTGTTCGGGCAGACATTGGCTTTGACAATACTGGCTCTGTAGTGCCACGCTTACCTCATGGCTCTGTTGTTGGCTGCACACTGCATTTCGATTTCACCGTGCCGGCCATTCCTCCTTCTTCGTCGCGTAGCAGTCGCACACAAGCCGCCGCTAGTGCCCAACGGCTTCATGACCGTCGTGCATCCGTTTCAGTGGCATCTGTGCCTTTGGATTTGACTGCCCCACATGCATCCTGCCCATGACGCCAAGTGTAAAGGATATGCACGCGCGGTGCAATCTGGGAGACCCGTGAAGACGAACTCACTTGTTATTAACTCGTGTGGAACAGCTGCAGTAGCTGTTGCCGAGGGGAGGTAGAGGACTGACTAGGATGGGGCCAGGATCAGCTGCTAAAGCAGGAGCTACTAGATCCTGTCCCCTGTTTTGTCCTTCCGCGGGGAGTTGCATCTCCCGCACTTTTCTCTGGGCACTAGCCCGCACTACCGTTTGTATTTCCCTACACATTC